TTGCTCCATGCTCCATCTGCAATAACTGCGATTTTGGGGCGACCTTTTATATCTAAATCACCGTTTTCGATCGCTAACCTTTTTTCTTCTTGTCCTGCTAATTCCATTTCTTTCCAGGCTATGTCATGAACATGCATAAAAATTTCCGTATGAAGTGCTTGATATAATCGGTTGGACATATTTGGCATGTTTAATGTTGCAGAAAATTCTTCGAGTTGGCTGTACCCTTGACCAGCATTTACAGTAGCATTAACTATTGCCATGTTTATATTTATATTTTCACCATTGAAATTTTCACTATCTATTTGTTCTTTTAAACCACACACTTTACAATTGAAATGAAATGTACTATAATATCCCTTTCTATTTTCCTTTACAAACTCTAAATCTCTAAATGAACAATCAAATCCCAAGTGTTTTATAGACTGTAAAGATTGAAAAATATGCTTGAGGTCAACAATACGTCTACGTCTACCCTCTAATTTTGCCCATTGGTCATTATTACACAACTCGTCATTTTCATATTGTTTATGAGGAGTTTCAAATTCTGATGTGTAATTTTTGTCATTGTCACACAACTCGCCATTTTCATACTGTTTATGAGGGGATACAAGTTCTGATGTGACATTATTTTTAAAATTTTCTTCCAGTATAATTGGTAGATTTGTTGTATTCGAAGACGTAGATGGTGTTTGATTTACACAATTTACCTACAACAAAACGTTTATAAAAAAGGTGGGCTGGTAGGTGTCACTCTTTTGTACAGTAGGTTATAAGTGGTTATATTGGGTTTCGTCCAAATCTGAACTTAAAAAAGCTAAAAAAAACTATGTTTAGGTATGTATTATTTAGATATTTTGGTATCAAAATTAACTACTAATTTGCATTCCTTACCTATAAAAGTTTGCAAAATATCCGGCGGCGAAGTGTCCTAGACCCAAAATAATTTGCATATTTTCGTGATTTTTACGTATTTTGTCAAAATTCGAACTTTAAATGCTTATCAAAAAAAATTGTGATTATGTATGTTACACAATATTTTTCAACTACTATTGTAACAATGCTTCGTATTAATATTTCAAGCTTTTTTACCCAACTTATATAATTTTATTTACATTCATAAAAAATAAAACTAAAAAAAATTGGAAACTGAAAATGTTCGTTAACAGCTCAAAATAAGTCAAAATATTTTGAAAATGTTATGGTGTATAGAAAATGCTAATATAAACATTCAGTCAAAATTTCATGAATTCATGGTCATTTCTTTTAGAGTTACACTAAAAATCAAAATCGATTTTATCCAAAATCGATGTTGCGTAAAATTCCTGTTTTTTCCTTAATTTTTCATTTGTTTTTTACAGCGCTTTTAAAAACTACTGAAAAATGTTTAGTTTTGACCACCCCAAAATACTAACTAGATTCACTTAGAAAAGGTACTATTGAAGAAAATCTAAGCATTTTTACTGTCCTAAAATGTGATGATAGCAGATAGACACAAAAATATAAAAAAAAAACATACATCATTGTAAGAACAATACATTCATCGCTTCGCTCAGAATTTAAAAATGGATTGTCAGGATTTTCAGCATGATTATATTATGCTATAGTTAATTAATACAATAGATAATATGTAATATTTATACTTACTTTTTTTTAATCTATTGAGAGTATCAATATTTCCTTTGTTTTTCTTTCTTTTGGATAAAAGAGTTTTAGTTTTTTTTCCATAATGCCAGTCTTTCTTAGTGTCCATAGTATCAAAGATGACAAATATTGAAAAATATATTGCACAAAAAAATGGTTCTCTAGAAACTGCACATTGGTTTTAAATAACAGCAGATGCCAGACTAATAGAAATATCGAAAATCAAAATTCGAATATTACTATTACTCGCTGTAGAATAATGACGTACCGGCGGTGGACCAAACGTGCAGGTAGACCGGACGTTAATTAATAATTATTATTATAATATTGTGCCCACCGACGGCGCGCGTTTTCTTATCTTATATATTCCAGGAACAGAATGTTGGCAGTTTATTTTCAATTAGGACCGCCTATGCGTTTCCGCACGCACAGGCACATGTCAATAATTTCAATTTTGTCAACTATACGCCATGCTATTCACATGACACAAATGCCAAAAAGCTAGACGAGTTGGATTCGACGGATTTTAATTTTGAAAATTAATATTAATTAATCAATATGTTAGTTAGGGAATGGTCGAGGGGATTTTGCTTATACAAATTCTTCGATAAAATATCGACAATTTAAAAAATAAGAATTTTGGTATTTTATATATTTAAGTATGTCATTATTTTTTATAATAATGATAAATTTCCACGGCCATGCTTTAGAAGAGTTGTTAAAGATTTTCAATTAGTTTTCAAAATTGAAATCCGTCTAACCCAAGTCCAACAGTTTTGTCTAGCTTTTGGCCTGTTTTACGTGATAATTTGTACCTGCTCCAGCCCCCTTAACATTTTTTTTATGTTTTGATTGTTTTTTTTCCAAAGCACATTTTAACCATCTACATTCTACACAGACACACAACAAACAATATTTTATGCTGTTATGTGCTATACTCTTATTATAGTTATTATTATTTATTTATTGTTATTGAGAGTAGCTATTTTTATTTTTATTTTTATCAGTTTTATTGGTAGTGAACGGTGGTACTGTGGTAGTATACTAGTGTTTATCTAGAATTAACCCGCATACAACACAACAATAATTCATTTTTAATTTAGATTTGACCGACTTGGAACTATGTGTGTAGTACGAAAAATTGGATATTTTAGGGACTGGGATGGACTATGTAAATTATTTAATCAGAATACTTTATTACACTAGGTTTTAAATTTATGTTTTTATTTTCCACTCTTTTATATACGAAATTATTTTTTATGATACTAAATAATAATAATAGTGTACAACATGATGAATATTTATTAAAACAAAATATAATTACTAATATTAAATTAACGATTATATTTACAGAGATTATAATTGTGTATCTGCAGTATCTGTTTCTGAGTAAATAGACTGTTCAGAAGTTGCAGGTGATTGTGTATATAATTGGTCTTGTTGATTGTAGTGTTGAGGGTTTTGAAGGTTACGATATTCTGCTTGAAATACAACTTGAGATACCTCCGGTTTCACCCTAATACTCTCTTCTGGTTTTAATTTTTTTACAAATCTGGCCAAACTCAAAAAGAACATGTCTTATTTATCATGTAGACAAGATTGAGAAGTAGCACTTTGATTTTGAGAGAGTTGTTGTGAGCGCATACGGCTATTGCTTTTCATTATTAAAACCAATTCGTACATGGTGGCTTCAATGCTTGTACGTTTTCTCTTTGAATCGTTTGAAGGCGGTTCAAGAGAAATAAAATCTGATTTATCAGTAAAAAGAGATTCGTTGACATTCTGGTACTGGAAAGGCTGGGTTTCATCTTCCATTGCTCCAACTGCTTCAGGACCATCAACAATACTCTCTTCTTCTTGAGTTTCGTCTTGTAAAATTTCACTCGAATTTACATGAGTTCTATAACATGTATAAAACTTGTTAAGCTACCAACCTAGCTTAAAACTTTATAGCACAACATTAGGTTTTGTTTTCACTTACTCTCTAGTTGTCACAGTGGGATTTAGGAATGTTTATTCTATTTGATATCTATATCCATTTTACCATTTTTTTGGTTACTTGACCGGATTTGGTTTTTCTCCTATTTAATGTGTTAGTGTAAGCATTGCGTAGTTTATTCCATGCATCTTTGCACTGATCACCTACAAAAAAAAAATTTTTATCATCATTACATTTTTAAAATGTTTATATTCACCCGATTTGTCCAACTTTTCTCCGATCTCGTCCCAAGCTTCCTTTCTAACAACTTGGTTTCTGTAGTACTTGTTTTTAAAATCATATAACATGGGATAAGCTCTTACATACTCGATAAGCTCTCCCTCCATGGTGTGCCTTCACACAGCTTCAAGCGACTGACAAAAATCTAAAAATTGGATCGGCAGCTGACGCGTGTGACACCGTATGACGTGTGATTGCGTGTTCACACGTCACGTCAAGCTAATGTATACATTACTGTACACGTTAGATCGCTGGAAAATTATATTACACGTGTTATTCCGTGTAAATGCGTCACGTCAGCGTAGTGTATATGAGCCTTTAAGTCTTAGCGACGGATTCGCGCAAGACGGTGCACTGTTTTTGCAACAACTCGATGAAGTTAACGGATTTCAGCATATAGTCTTGTCATATCGGCGGCGTCAAAACGAGACGATGTGCACTGGGTACGCTCGAATCGGGTTTCTAAATTCCGTGAAAATAAAAGACTGGACGGGAACGATACGCGGATGCGTGTTGTTGGTGTGGCGTTCGGAGCCGGACTAAATTCACAGTCCTACACATGGCAATTAGAATTTTCTAAAATTGGTTTTTAACCGGCAACCGATTCCTGAAAAAACTAATTAACGGTAATCTATTTGGTTTAAGATATATTTAGAGAAACAATTACCGGGTATCATAGTATCAATATTCAAGGATAATTGATAATTGTTTTTTTGGATGCTGTTTTAAGCCCTAGTAAGTAGTAAATAGCTCAATGCTATAAAATATGGAGCTGCAAAAAATGAATCTAAATTTCTTGGAAATTTTACAGTACATAATATATTAAATAGCAAAATGTGTAGTGCAAAAAGTTTCAAATCCCTACAAATAATATATTTTTAAAGATCATATTATAATAATAACTAAACTTCTTATTTTTTTTTTGTTAAAATTTAAACATGGAATGCAAAAAAATATTTATTTATTGTTGTATACCTTGTATTTGTTTATAACATCTAATCTTGTTACTAACTTTGCTTAGACTATTACTATTATTATTATTATTATTAAAATCAAAAAAAAAATTTGAAAATGGAATTCAACAGACCGGCGAATCTTAAATTGATCGGTAATATAAATTACAGCTTTAAAACATTTAAGCAAGAAGTAGAAGTTTATTTCATGGCTACTGAAACATATCAAAAGCCAAAAGAAGTACAGGTGACAGTCTACTGAACCTTTTAGGACCAGATGGTTTGAAATTGTTTAACACATTTAAAATTGAAGATACATCTATTAAGACAATTTTCAAATGTTTGGAAGAATATTGTGTACCCAAAAAGAATGTGGTAATGGGGCATCATAAATACTTTACCAGAAAGCAAAATGGAAATGAATCATTTAACAAATTCTATGCTGACTTACGCGAACTTATCAAGTCATGTGCATTTGGAAAAGCTGAAGAAACTCTGTTGTGCTCACAAATAGTACTGGGTATACATGATAAGGATCTGCAGACAAGATTACTCAGAGAAGATTTGCCGTTGTCCAAAATCATCAAGTATTGTCAAGCGGTTGAACAGGCCGAGATGCATCGACGTGTGGTTCAAAAAGAAAGTCCAGCCCTGAATCAAACTGAAGAACGTCAACAATTCAAATCAAATGATGGAGTCAAATTAAGCAAAATAACAAGTTACAAAGAAAACAGGAGCATAAGAACAAAAATCAGTTTAATTATAAAAATAAAAATTCAAGGGAAAGTCAAAATAATAATGTTACAATATTTAGTTGTAACAGATGTGGTATATCTCATGGTATAAATAAATGCCCTGCGTATGGAAAAACTTGTAATAATTGCTTTAAATTCAACCATTTTGCAGTAAAGTGTAGAAAAGGTGCTAATAAAGGACAGTTGCATGAGGTTCAATGTAATAATAGTAATGACGAGGAACTTATTTGTCATTAATAGCATTGAGTCAGAGAATCAAATAAATTGGACTGATATTGTTGTGATTGAAAGTAAAAAGGAATTAAAAATTAAATAAAAACTTAGAGAAAAGTTCAGTAGTTATTAAATCATTTGGAGAATTTAATATAGTCATTGGGAAAAGTTTAAGTAAATTAAAAAAACTCTAAGAATGAAATTAGTACCTATTTTGAAGTTGTTAATTACAATGATTTACCAATACTAGGGTTAAAGGATTGTATAAAACTAAATTATGAAATTAAAGAAGTAAATGAAATTAATAGTTGTAAAACAGAAAAAGATGTATTCTTACAAAAGTATAATGATATATTTAATGGTTTAGGAAAATTTCTATAAAAGTTATAGATGACGCTAATACTAAAATCTTCCCACCAAGAAGAGTACCTTATAAATAGTAAATAAATTAAAAGAAACACTAGATAAAATGTGTGAATTAAAAATTATAGAAAAATGCAAAGAACCAAGTGAATGGCAGAGTCCTATAATAATAATTGAAAAACCAGACAAAAGTTTGAGAGTTTGTTTAGATACCAGGGAGCTTAATAAAAATATAGTTAGGGAAATGTACCAAATACCAACACTAGAAGAAATTTAATTAAATTAATAAAATAAAAAATATTTTACTTTATTGGACCTTCGTGATGGATTTTATCAATGTGAATTAGATCAGAAATCACAAGACTATTGCTGTTTTAGTATACCTTTTGGAGGATATGGTAACAATGCATGAAAAGTATTTAGAATTTTGTAACATGTAAATATATAATTATTTATTCCTTGTGTATGTCTAGTTAAAAGTCATAGTGTCCATATTTATGTACTATTTAATAATATTTAATGTATTATATTGTAAGCATTTAGTTATTTAAGCTTGTTTATATTATATAAGTGTTCGCGCCAAGCAATTAAAATGCTTATCGCGGGACGTTAATCAGCGCGACGGCGACTTCTTCCCTCCTCGTCCGTCTACTCCACCTGTCTTCTTCCTACCGTTATTAATTGTTAATTATTATTATTCGTGTGATTAGTGTATTTTTCATATTTATTGTCTTTGTTTTGTCACCTAATCACTTGTTGCGGCCAACGCCCTTGTTTTTGTTTTGTTTTTGTTATCATTGAGTTGTTCGTTATTAAAAATCTGTCGTCTCCGTTAACGTAGCTTATAAAATTATTATTATTGTCATTTTTTATTTGTCTCTGTGTTTTTTAGTTGTTCGAGACACACAACAAATTCTATTATTATTATGATTATTGTATAATCAACTGTGCGGTCAATGTGACCAGAAATTATTATTTTGTGTTGTCAGTGCGACAATACTTGTAACCTGTCGCCGTTATTGTAACGGAATCATTCATATGCCTACCTATTATTATTATTAAAATAAACATGTGGCGTTACCAGTAAATAAACCGTGAGTCAGATCTTTTTTCTCTATTATTATTATTATCCTGTGGGCTGACTTGGATCAGCGGTGTGACGGATATTGGCACAAAGCTATCATCCATGGCGATATCCACGTCTGCGTAAGTCCGCCAGCACGCTGTGTGTGAGAGGCCGCCTAGGTCGTCAAGTAGCAACGGAATCTCCACATCTGCCAGCTGTCCATCACCACCAACCGGTCTTAGATTTTAAGTTAATTTTAAGTTGTGTAGTATTTTATGTGAACTCTGTGGCCCCATTGGCTTAACCACAGAGACCTCCCTTATACAAACGGCACTTTCCAAAATCCTAAAACATCGATTATTCAATCCCTCCTGTCGCCGTGCGCTGATTAAGTTGCCTATCCACCCCCAAACCGGGCGTGCAGGTAAACGTGCCAATCGACACCATAAAGTAAAAACAACATTGTTCTCGGGCACTCCCGAGTGGTCCTTCGGGTGTTACGTCCCCATTGTCGGGTGTAAACATATAAGTATTCATTATTTGTTAAAGTATAACTCATTTGATTATTTGTAAACTCGTGTATTCATTTTGTCACTTATAATCTTAGTGTTTATATTATCTTAACAATTGGTTATACTTATTATCAATTCGAATAATTAATTTGATTTAAAATTATATAATTTTTTTTAAAAAAGAGGAGATGTTGTATACCTTGTATTTGTTTATAACATCTAATCTTGTTACTAAGTTAGCTTAGACTATTACTATTATTATTATTATTAAAATTAAACATTTTAATTGAGAGTAATTAGTAATTTAATTTAATTAAAAGTAAAATATAAAACATTTTTCATGTGATTCGGAGCCTGGTAACGACGGATCCGACGATCTTGTCCGCCAATCTGTAGAGGATAACGGAGGTGGCCGCCGTGGGCTTAGCTGGTGAGCTCGACGAGTCGCCTTTGAAGGTCTTTCTCATTGACTTGACGAGCGTTCCCATAGCCTCAAAGTCGATAGGCTTCCCTATCCCTGACGGCGCGCAGAGATTCGGCATTGGTTCTCCCGTCTCCAAGGATCTTTAAAATTTAAACATTGAATGTAAAAAAATATTTATTTTAGAGATACTATGGTGGCTATATAAATACACCATAAAAAGCATTTTATAAAATGTATTTATTGTATAATATTGTTCTACCTTTCCATCGATAATAAATATAAAAAACAATTCATGGTCAGTTTTATAGATAATGGACATTGTATTGTATTGAGGTTTGAAAAAAATTAGATCGTTTACATATAATGTGATTTATAAATAAAATATAATCGTTTATTATACAAAAAATTTTAGTAAGTAATGTTACTTAGTTTAACAGTCTGAAAAAATGGTACCACCTATCAATGACATGTAGATTTCAATAGTATCCTCGTTAGAAAGGTTGATTGAAGCCGGGGTCTCGTTTTCTCCAATCATATCTCCATTAAAGCGAAATCTCAATATATCAAATGTTATTCCCTAAAATAATACAATTTTGAATGAATTAAACAATATTGAAATATAAACATTAAACCAGCACATACACTCTGTTATCACTAACTGTAAAAATATCTGATATTTAAAGCCCGACCGAGACCGGACCGAAAATAACCGGTTGCAGAACGTAAAACCTTGTGTCAATTAAAGCACCGTAACCTTTATTTTACATTTTAAAAAGACCCCAACAAAAACCAAAACCCTAATACAGAACCGAAAAAATACCAGTTTTTTTAGGGTTTTTATCTGTTTTCAAGGACTTGTTGAAGGAGAAGCAAATTACAAAAAATGTATTGTTTAGAAACAAGAATTATATTTTATACTTATATTGTTTAATATTATTTAATACACAGTACTGACGTAATGCTATTTTTAGCCGCGTTGCCCGTATGTCCGCGATCGTAACGACCGACGATGGTCGATGGCGAGTCTATCGAGTATAGACCTATTCTGCCCTCCTAAAGAGATAGGCAGTAAACGCCCAATTTAAAAAAAGGTATTATTTGATATTAATATTAAATAACAAATTACGCATCTTTTTTAATAAGACAAAATACAGTAAAAACCATTTTAAATGGCCTTAAAAGCGATTCAAAATATAGTATCTCCCAATTTATTTTAAAATACTATCCAAAACTAAGAAAAACTGCAGTATGTAACATATACTAGATAAAAATACAGTAAACGCCATGGTTATACTGCGTTTGTTCTTAGTATTATGATTGCCCTTAACACATACTACATATTTACCTATGTTAAGAACTCCTGAATATTACATATTTTATTTCGAATATATATATTATATATATGTTGACAACATATATAGAAGTATTTCATTACAATCATAATGCAGAGTGTGTGTGTGTGTGTGTGTGTGTGTGTGTCGTACGACGCTGCTACCGTGGGATCCGCTGAATAAGGGATTTTTTTATGTGAACGGAGCACCGTCGCGGCAACACATAGGGAGTCGGTCAGTCGTATTATAACCAGTGTTAGATTAATTTGTAGCTATACTTAAGATTTTTACTACCAATTTCAATAAAAATACATTAATTATTTTAATATTCAATTGGTGCATACGCTTTATTTTTTTGTTGTGTGTAAAATCCATAACACCTAGTATCATAGCTAAAATGAATTGCAAGTTGCAATATGTTGAATGTCTTTAAAAACATATTATACACCATCTGTTTATAATATTATAATAGACCTGATAATAGTATTATTCCATTACAAATTATTTACTAGGTCTATGGTAAATACCGCAATAAAATAGTTATCATACAAATTATTTAAGAATCAATAATCATATTGCCAATTACTAGTCAACAGTAAATAGGTACCATGGTTGTAGATAATATGTGATATTATGATATTAAATAGGTACAACCGTTATCATAGGTACAACAATTTATTTATCATTGTTTTTGAATAGAAATTATTACCTATTATAAATTAGAATAATACTTTTTTATTTTTACAACAATGACTTCAAAACAACGAATTAAAAAGATAATCAACCAACTCAAACAACCACATGATACAAGTAAGTAAAATAAGAAATACATATAACATATTGTTTGCAATATCCATTTGTTATATTACAAAAATAAAAATTTGTACAGCAGTGACTATAACTGAACCTCCACCTAAAGCATTGAAGAAATTATTTTATGAAGAGCCAACAGAAATAACTGCAGCTGCTAACTTTGAAACTGAATTGGAACAGTTGGACAACTTAGGTAAGTATAACTTATACTATTTAATACAATTTATTAATCATAATATAATGTCATACTATAATTTATAGTCAGTACTTTTAATGTAATTTTATTTTAGATGTTTTTGATTTTGATTTGATGCCCATTCAATTTAATATTGATGATAATCCGAATGAAACAATTATTGAGCCACAAACTCTGGAAGTTTTAGATCAAGGTAATTACAATTTATAATAAATTATATGAAAAATTAAAATTGTAATGAACTTTTTTTCTTTTAAAATAGTTGAAGTTATTGAGGAAGATCTTCAAAATGAAGAATATCAAATCTTCACTAAAGATGGCAATCCAAGAAAAAGAAATCCGACTATATACTGATATGCTGATTTCACATACAAAGTGGAAAAAAATTAATGAAATCTGATTATTTTAAGGTAAAAAATGAAGAAATCTAAAAATTCATTTTCCCAATATTTTGGTTTTTAGTGATACTGCCTTTCTCTTTAGGAGGGCAGTATTTATATATAATATATTACTATTATATGATATCAATGTTCATATTACACCATAACAAATAATTTCTATGAACAGTACGAACACTTTTAAAAGTTATTTTTACTATTGAAAAATGACTGGGTTTTTGAAATGCTATATATACGTCATGTCCTACACAGTGCATATCACAACTTTACCAACCAATTTGCCATTCCAGTTCAAACGGCTGCTTTGCAATGACTATTAATAAGGCACAAGGTCAAACATTAAGGGTTGCAGGTTTAGACTTAACTGTCCAATGTTTTTCCCATGGTACATAGCTCTGTTACATGCAAACAAAATCTATTTGTGCTGGCCCCAGAAGGCGAGACATTTAACGTGGTGTATCCAGAAATATTTAATGCTAAAGACAAATTTGATATAATTAACAAAATAAAAATCATACAGCAAAATAAAACAAATATATTCCACACTTATGTATAAAATTATACTATAAAAAATAATCAAATTAAATATCTGATAAAATTCATACCAAACTTTTCACATATCCTTAAAAACATATATAAATGTACTGAAATCTAGAAATAGCAAAGCATTACCAAGTCAGCTAGTTTTTTAATAAAATATTTGTATTTAACTAAAAATAATTCTTGTAGCTATGAAACCACAATTGAAACATATGATATGGAAAATGATGTTGATCTTGATGAAGACCAAATCTCAATGATGCTCGCTGAAAACACAGAAGAAAATACCAATTGCCTAGATAACGATTATGAACAAACTGAAAATATATTGAATGAAATTCAATCATTTCAAAATATTATGGGTGATACTTCAATATTTACAGGTAAGTCGTCGTAAAATATTCTTTTACAAGAACATGAAAATTATGTTTAACAAAATAAAAAATATATATTTACCTACTCTTTACAATATTCTACTACATTTTATATTTACTTTAATTACAAATTAAAAATACCTAGCTAAAATTGTTGGTTTTTTAAAACGTAAATACTTAATAATAACAGATTCTCAATTATTTTTCTATGAAGGTTATTGTAATGAATAATGTCTACTTGCAAAACATGTGTATAAAATAATAAATATGTAATAAACAATAATTTTATGTTAACCAATATAATGTCATCAATTAAAAGATTTATAACATACAAAGTTTTTAGTGTTAATTTTAATTTTTAGGCGTACGGTGTGTGGCCCATACCTTACAATTGGCCACGATAGACAGTTTGAAAGATAGTGGGATTGAAAAAATGTTAAATAAAGTTCGAACATTGGTTAAAAACTTTGAAACCAAACATATGTATACACAATAATAAAAGAAAACTTAGTCTCCCATACTTGACTGCCTAACTCGTTGGCACTCAACATTGGATATGTTGGAAAGAGTCAAATATCTTAAACATTTTATACAGAATATGGCGGCAAACGATTCATCATTGAAAAAAGTATGTTTAAACAATTTAGAATGGAATCAAATTGAAGCTATTTCGAAAGCTTTATTTACCCTTCAAAAATATGTACCAAAGTTACAAAACGAGCAGTTGACATTAACCGATTTTTATGGCTCCTGGATTTTGTGTAAAATTCAAACTCAAAAATGTAACACTTTGTTTTCTAAAAAATTGGTTGAATGTTTAACTAATAGGGAACAACATTTAATGAAGAATGACGTTTAATTGGCAGCCATTTTTTTTTATCAACAATACTAAACCATAATTGATGACAAATAATACACAACTGCCACTAATCATTTAATTGGAGTTTGGCTTCAATTGAAAAAGTTAGAGCAAAAAAGTGTTGACTTAACTATGAACAATTATGATAATGTTATAATGCTTAACAATGATTCAGAAGATGATTTAACTACAGGTTCTGATGGACTTGAAGATTTTCTTAAAGTAAAGGATAATGTTGACACTTACAATGTATCCAACATTTCACAAACATCTGTATCTCATACAATTGAAACAATTTTTAAGTCATATCATATTAAACAAAACAGATTAGGTCATAAAATGAATATCCTCAAATTTTGGAAATCCATGGAAAACATTTATACAGAAATCTATGTCCTTGCTAAAATAATATTATCAGTTCTATCAACTCAAGTTAGTGTTGAACGTCTATTCTCAGGCCTTAAATTTATTTTTTCACCATACAGGTGTAATATAAATTTACAAAACCCAGAAGACCAATTGTCAGTACGACCAGTACGTACAAACAGATTGTTCGATAAAGTTGACAGTGAATATCTTAAAAAAAAAAGGTAAAAATATCTGTGTATAGGTATTAAAAATTTAAAGTTATAATTTTATTTTTATCTATGTTTTAGTACTGAGAAACATCTAACAAGGAGCATTGAACTTAGGCTCTTGTCAAGAAGATGATACTGATTCAACAGCTAATAATACGCAAAAGAAATTCTTTGTCTTATTAAACCAATGTAACTAAGAAGCTTCCTAAATTAACTTAATATTACAATTTTATTATATTGTAATTTGTTATAAATAATATATTACACAATTATAAATTAGTCTAATTTATGGTCTTGAATTTTTATCAAAACAAAATACTGAATAGATTATTAAATCCTAAATTTTGTTAAAATTTAACTCTAAACTATTATAAGCTGTAAAAGTTACTAAATATTAATTTTTTACAATGACAAAATGATGTTTCAAATTTACTATATAAGCTTTCACAGTACCTACAAGAGTATAAAGTATAACATACAACTGCATATTTGTATTAAAATTTTTTGTTTGAAAAAAAAATATACCAAAATAAAGGTTGGATACAGGTTGGGACTGGTTTTAACTGCAACCTAAATTTTGAACTTAATAAAATACCAAAATTTAACCTGAACCCCTAAAAAAATATTTTAGAGATCTGAACCCTTACCGAAACCATTATAATCATTGGTCTCGGTCCCTGATTTAAAGTCAAAATGACAAACATTTTTTAAATATGATAACTCATTATTAGGGCTCGGATTTTAAAGGAAATGCTTCTTGTTATATATTTAAGATAGAAATCTAATTTTTATACATAAATTCGTTTCACGTCAATCTGATTCCAAATAAACGAATTTATTTTTGCTTTTTTCAGTTATTCTAACTGTGGAATTTTTATATGTCTGATATGCTATAAAAATAAAATTTACTTAATAAGAAATGTGAAAACCCGCAATAATGACCGTGACCGTACCATTAGTGCGAAACGTCCTTAAATGTATAGCTATCTACAGATAGCTTATGGGTCGATAGCTTATCGGCTATTGCATATAGTCTGTAGAACCTACGCTCAGTACTCGTATAACATCAATATTGACGTGTTTAAAATTTAAGTTTTATAGTGCTTTATAGTGTTATAATTTATTAAAATGCCAAAAGTTAAAACGAATGCATTTTTAAAAAAATTAGTGTTAGAATTTGGTGAAGAAATTTTTCAAACAGATGGATCGATTTTATATTGCAAACTTTGTGAAGCAAAAGTGTCACATGAAAAAAAAATATAATATACAACAGCATGTACGGAGAGAAAAACATGTTCAAGCTGTTAAAAGACACAAAATGAAAAGTCTGCATTACTTCAACCATTTTTACAACAGTTTAGTAGTCAGTCAGATTTAAATGCCTATTTATGTTCAACATTGGTAGCTGCAAATGTTCCAATGAATAAACTAAATAATAAACATTTTCGTGAATTTTTAACAAAATATTGCAAAAAAACTATTCCTGACGAGTCGACATTATGTAAAGTATGTTTTAATTCATACTATGAAAATACATTGGCAAAAATTCGTGATACAATAACAGATCAAAAAATATGGGTGTCTATTGATGAGACTATGGACTCTGCACATCGTAATGTTGCAAATGTAATAGTGGGCACATTACAACCACAAAATCCAAGTAATATGTTCGTTATTCACACAGAATACTTGGAGAAAGTGAATCATAGTACAATATGCCAACTATTCGATAAAGCTATGCAAATTTTGTGGGGAAATGGTGTAAAACATAACGATGTTTTGCTATTTATCTCAGATGCAGCACCTTATATGAAAAAAAGCTGGTGATTGTATAAAAGCGCTTTGCCCAAAACTCAAACATGTGACTTGCTTGGCACATGCATTACACAATGTCTGCGAAGAAGTACGTGCACACTACCAAGATGTAGATCAGTTGATTGAAGGAATGAAAAAAACATTTTTAAAATGTCCCAAACGTACAGCAATCTTTAATGAGAAATGTCCAGAATTGCCAAATCCATCAAGACCAATAACGACCAGATGGGGTACATGGATAAAAGCTGTCCAGTATTATTGCAAATATTTTAATGAATTAAAAAGTGTAATTGAAGACTTCGAAGAAGTAGAATATAGAAAATTAGTATACCATTTTATAGAGACATCACACCCATACTTGTTGTCTTTGTCTCTCAAATTAGTGTTATGCGTTTAGTAGCTTATACATAACATATTTGATTTTGATATTTGTGAATCAACATATTAAACAATATTTAAATCTTGAAAACTAGTTATAAGCATGTAAAATTGTATAATCAATTTAAAAAATAAAACAACAATGTAGTTACCTATAATATCATGTTAGCACTAATATTAAAACGGACAAAACTAAATTTGAGAACTGCTGAATGCAAATTTTTGACACACTTGTTTATAGTTAGAATGTTTGACACTTGTAATAAATAAAAGTATGGTGCTTCATAGCTATAAACATTTCTAGTATGCTAATTATTAGTAGTAGTAACTATGAGTTCAATATCTCAAATGTAATCAGTAATAAGATTAGTCCCTACATACTTATGACTTTGTTTGCAGATAATCATTCAGTAAATTTGTGCAATATTATTAATTCCTAAATTAAATCTTGATTCTATACATCCCATTTTTAAATAATTTTTGATTTCAAATATCTATTACCGTTTATATGGTCTTGAATACCAAAATTCAGTAACTGAAATTATAATGGTTAGAATTGCAATAGTAAATACTTTTTTTATAGTTTAAACTTACAGTGTGTCTACAATAACCTCTAAATAATTTACTGAACGGAGTTAACATTTTCATTTCACAACGTAATGTTCTAATGTCTCCAAATACTTCCACGAGTTGTAAAACTATTGAAGAATCATTTTCAGGAGCAACCTATAAAACAAGACATTTTTTTTTAGTATTGACATCGGGTACAAAAACTAACAACATTTAAATTTGTACCAAATTAATTCATAATCAAATGTTATAATTTTGAATAGATTCTAGGAACGTTAAACGATACAAACGTACTATCAAGCCAACCCGGTCCATAATTGTTTAGTATCAATCACTCGATCAAGAACTAATAAAATGTACTTGTCGTCCAAAGTCAGACTACTTATCGTGCCAAATGTAATCAAGCACCACTGATGTAATTTCAAAAACCTCGATTGTTTGATGAGGCAGAGATAGTTATTTATGAAATAAAATATTGATCGTAGAAATTAAAATAAAAAATGTAGGTTGTCGGCAAACCTTATTATAACCGACGTCTTGAACCACTGAATTAATTTTAAAAAATTGCTCCGGCACAAGTGCACAACGCCTACCAGTGGCATCTGAACCGATCTCCTCGGGTGGTTATCATAACAGGACGAAACTCGGGTTAGTATTTTAGTGTGCTCTACGCATGTTAATACTTACTACTTTATCCATATTGATTATTCTTGACTTGACTATAAGTAGATAACCAAATTGATGCACCGACTTACGATAGCGAAGCCTGTGAAGATGAGAAATGTGAATTGAATTGTTTTATGAAAATATAGTAAACAAAGTTCAATACGATTGAGCTTTGCGGACTGCGGTTCGTATGGTACGTAATAATAATATATTTATCACCACAGGACGTAAACAAGCCGGGCATCGGGCAGTTAGATAACAGCTGTTATCATCAGCATTATTTATCAGTTAATTTTCATGGAATAAACGCTTAAATAGGGGACCAACGAAAATGTAGTAATACCAACTTAGAAATACTAACATTCCCAATCCATTTTAGTTTTCATCCCAAAATTCCAATGTATTTTAATGTATAAATGTATTTTCAGATTCAAATATTATTGTACGTACAATAATTCTTGTACAATTAGAAATCAATTAAGGATTTTTAAAACATCGTAGGTCGTGGGGTTTTCAAAAACTGAAATAACAACTTGTTAGACATGTAAAACGTGTTCGTTCGACCACCACGTGAATAAAAACGGAAAATTTCCAAATTTGGTAAATCTGATTACATTCCAGCCGACATTACTAGGTTACATGTTAATAGCAACATTTTTTTGAAGGGACTTAGCCATTATTCTGTAAATGATGTGTTATATGATGATGAATAATATAATGATTTCTAAAAATATACATTTATGCATATTTTATACAAATTCCACAAAGGTATACAATTATTGATAAATAAACTTATAAACGACAAATCCATTTAGTTGTTTACTGGTTTAAAACAACAAGTTATTCAACACTAGATTCATATATATTAAAATTGTGTAAAACTACACTCCTGTACTTGGCTAACATTGAATTTATACATTATATCAATATAAATATTTAATAATAGCCAAGTGGGGTCACAAACATTTTATCCATAAGGGTAAATTTGAAGCTACCCACCTAAACTTTCAAACATTTAAAACCTGAATGCTCAAAAATAGTATTTTAGTGACACCACTGTGAAATTTGTGTAACACAAACATCATAATAATTATGATTATTCTTGATTAACTATTGACAAAATGTATCCATTTGTACTGTTTTATATACAAATAACATTACAACGCTATTATAGAAATACACAATTGATTGAAATACATTTCCAATAACAATATAATATGTTAAATATGGTGCAATCCTATTACTTTTATGTTCAACAACAGTTATTACTTATTTGTAATTTAATTTTTTTTTTTTAATGCAGTTTCAAACACACATACAATCAGAAATATTAATATCAATTTTAAATTCATCAGAATATATAAGCAGTTTAAAACTTAAAAATTGCATTTACTTGTCTAAATCCTATATATATTTTATGTATAAGGTTACATAAAAACGGTTAAATAAGGTACATAGTTACATAATATACAAATATTAGACATTAGTCATGTATAAATTATAAAAATAAAATGTTATATATTTATTAAAAAAATTATGTAGCTAGACAAAATATAACTTTAAGATACCTATATGAACATTGTTGAGTACTAGATATGTGACATGTTAACTTTAATGAACTAATTTAGTGATTCATTTTTCAATTCAATGAGCTGGTGAAGACTTTTCAGTGAATCATAATTCAACTTATTTATTTGTTTGTGACCACAACAGACAAGTTAATTTAATTGAATCATTAATCAATTCTAAAATTAAATTAACCAGTGTAAATATCCAGTATACAAGAAGTCTCTATATCTATTTTATGGTTTTTATAGATTAAATTTGAATTTAAAAAATGTAAAAAAAATTAGTTTGTTGACATATTATAAAGACTGTACATAAAAATCATTTACATCTTATATGGAGTTAAGTAAAAAGTAATAATAATTAATATTACTCTCAATTATCTACACACCAAGTATCTATTTAATAAAATGTTTTATTTATTTTAAACAAACAAACCATGTTAAAGGTGAGATATTTATCAATAGAGTAATATTGAAAACTGGTTGGACAGTGATGTGGTATGATATTTTAATCTTTTAGTCCAGTAAATATTTAAACATGAATGCAATCAGCCATGGACATTTTATTTTTTTTAAATTATTTTAGCATAGGTATTCAAAATATAAATTAATTTCTAAAATTACATTTTAACCGTATATTATTTTTTTTTTTATTGTTTCTATTAATAAGACAAATTTCAATTCCCTAAAGTAGAGTTCAACTATACTAAAAATATTAACTTCAAAAATACAAAATTTGTTTGTTTGTTTTTTTCAAATATTTTATTAATTGTTATTTACTTTTATAAAATAGTAAGTATTTGTATCAAGTGTCAAAGTAGAAGAAGTGAATTGTTGTGAACAAGACTAAATCTATCTAAATGATTGTGGATGGATATTACCAACAAAAAAAAAAAGATTGTACAGGTAGATACTTGGTTTATTAAAATGTAATAAATCCATAACTTTATTGGTACCACATATCTTACCAAAAACAGTTATTAACTATTATGAAAATGTATGTAAATAAATATGAGTGTAGTTAATTATAATCCTAATAATATAATAATTATTTTTACCAGTATATTCTTGAATTAGACACTATATTCACAAATCAATTTCCCACTTAGTATCATTACCAAAAGTAGGGCACAAACTCATAACTTAAATTACTTAATATAAATACTTAATATTTAATGTGTACTTTGAACATCCCCGTGAACAGTATTCCCTTTTGAATATTTGTTAAACTTATTTTCAAAATTTCTTGAACACTACTTTAACCAGAACCAACAGAAATTTACAAAATAAAAAAATGTCATATTGCATGTAATTTATAAATATTGTTAAGTTTATATTTCGTTAATACTGCAGTTAGAGTCATTTCATATTGGAACATAAACTATAAATTAAATAATGTTGTGATATTTGTATAAAATAATAAATACTCAAAATATTATTGACAAGGTATATTTATTGAACGTCATGAGGCGTAGTAGTTCGCGACACAACTTCGCAACGAACACTGACGGAAACGTAATAATACATATAAATTCACCGGGGTCGGCGCGATATATACAACAAACCACTATCGATAAGCGATAACATATAATATAATATTACACAAATATCACACCTCCCCATTAAAACTAAACTATATTATGTGTATGTTAAAATCGAAAAAATAATTATAATAATAATAAAATATTCATACATACAAATTGAAATTACATTTTTTTTTTTTTTTTTT